AAAGAAGAAAGAAACACTCAACTAAATAATCCTGAGGGCCATTAAACACTTGGTGGAGCAAAGGTCTTCATGTAAATGTAGTTTTACTATACTGTGTACAAACAAGGCAAAAGAAAAGAGACTATCGGGGCGCAGATGGATCATCAAGCAGTGACGGAGTTGTCACTGGGAAGAGCAGCATCCATGGTTGTCGCAACGTCATTTGCGGTGAGTTCTTCAGACGGAGTAGGGGCGCCACTGGAAGCGCCGTTGTCACTTGAAGGAGCATCGTCACTGGGAGCAGCATTGTCACTGGTGTTTGCGGCAGGAGATTTGTCTGAATCCTTGTCCTTTTTGACTATGAAAATGAGACGCGTTGGGAAAGTAAGTGAGAGCAAATTTTGCAAGCCAATATCAGATCGCAAGGAGAGCTTACCCTTGGATTTTACCTGGCAGAGGACGTGTTTGAACCTGCCTGCAAGGGGCTGGTTTTTCTTGGGCTTGGCATGGGCGGAGTCGTCGGTGCTGTTGCCGTCTTGAGAGTTGTTGGGAGAAAAGCTCTTCTTCAAGGGGGACATCATAAACCGTTTTTTCTTTGGTTTAACTTCCTTCACGGCGGGTGTGGTCTCCTGTTTGGTGGGTTCAGAATCAGCGGCGACGCCTTCAACTTGGATGATGGGGGGCGTAATTGCGACGGTGTCGTCTGCAACTATAAGAAAGATCAGAGATTAGCATAAGTTAGAACCATGTGCAGCCGTGTTTCAGACCTCACTTACCAATGGGCGTTGCCACTGCCTCTTCAAGCGCAGCAGGATCAAAAACCGGAGGCTCCTTGCGAGTAATTGACTTTTTGTATTTGAGAGTAGCTGGTTTAACGTTTTCGATGGTTGTGGCAGGATCGCTGAGAATTTCTTCCGTGTTCAGCGCAGGATCACTCGTGGTGGGAAGCTCGGATGGAATCGAAGCCGATAGCGGCTGAGCGGAGATGGTCTCTGTAGGAGTTTCGACGGCAGGGACCTCAGGGGCAACCACCGCTTCAGCAACTTCTGGTACCGAGATTACGGGTTCCTCGGCTTCCACCGCGGGAGACACGGCAGCTAATGGCTCTGCCTCTGAAAGCTGAGGAGCTTCCTCCACATCAGGAGCTGCGACTTCAGGTTGAGTGGACGACTCAGGTTCCGTGGCTGACTCTTCAGCCGGGGCGGAAGCTGCTGTGAGAGTAGCAAGTGAGCAAGTGATTGTTAAAAGACCAGGTTTGGAATGTTCTCTTACCAGGTGCAGGTGCCTCGATGTCATCGAATGTCTGTTGGCTAGACAGGCCTGTAACTGGCGTAAGCGTTAAGGCCACAGTTGAGGAGTTGGGCGCAATGAGTGCTTCAGATGGCAGGATTTCCGCCAAGGGCTGTTCAGCTGGCTGCGCGGCCTCTTCAACAGGTTCCGCGGAGTCAACCGGAGGAAGGACAGGTACACTCTGCTTAGGAGGACTGAATGGGGACTGCGGTAGACGTGATTTGATGGATTGGATGAAGCCAGGCATTGTGAGTTTGGTAAGTGTTGAGTTGGTTTGACTCGCCTGTAATGATTGATTAACATTCGAGAAAAAACGGTAAGGCGCGGGGTAAGCATTTTGTGGGTTTCTCTGGATAGCTGATCGAATAACAAGATGGCTTACGTTGGAAAGCTCGGTTCTGAGTTGTGGAAATTGGATAAGAAGAGTTTAGACTGCTGGACCAGTTGCTCGAGTCAGCTCTTGGATATCAATTAATTCGAGAGCGGAGTATGTAGGTTCTGGAAGAGACGGAAGTGTTGTTCTAAAGTAGAAGCAAGTGGGAATAAGGGATAAAGGTTTGGGTGGCACTGGGGTAAGCTTTAGCTTTTATGGTTAATTATGTGAGTGAGATAGAGCAAAGGTACCGAGGAGATTTGTCGTATATGTATCGTAACAGCTAATGGTCAGCTTTCCAACAGGGGCAAGTCAGTTGACGAAATGGATTAGTGGTCGTATTCTAGGAGAAGGCACCAGTCTGTCTGATAATTAACTACTTAAAGCAGGCTCTCCTGAGGTATTAAAGAATGGCGGCTAGATCAAGTCAATTTTTATCTGGGTCTGGGGTCAGTGAGCTCTACAGCATGGAGGCACAATAGATGATCAATTATAACACCACAAAATCAGCACTGGCCTCACCCGATTGACTCCTCCTCGGCATCTCAACCTGGTGGCAGTTGCAAGACGGATTCACACTTTTTGCCCTCAGCAGACAGCACCTTGCTTGAGAAAGATGGAAAAAAGATCCATGCAGGTCCCCAAGGGAGCCACGAACTCCCATCATCCTCCGCATAATCTGGGAGGGGAAGGTTCCACTTGACTATCTGCATACGGCTACCGGGGCATGAATCCCGCCGCCCTCAGCTACACTAGATGGGAAATTCAGAACTTGATGTATCCGGTGTTTTCCAGAATTGGCGAGCTCGCAGGTTAGACAGTTTGAATCGGTGAAGCGTGTCCAAGAGCCAGTACAGGATCGAGGAGATAGAAGCTCTGACCTCCTGGTCGAGCCGGCTGAGTACCAGCACCTTGATCTGCACCTTACTATCAAAAAAACACTGCTGTATGCGCTGAGACCGAAGGGCTAGGGCGACCAGCCAATAGGACCATACATTAGCCCTCAAGCTGCATGCATGCGGACACGCAATCGGACAGAGGCCGCTTGGACCCTAGCCTGAGCTGTCTTTTCTTGGATGAACAACTTGTTGCGGGTCTGGAGCATGAGCTGGGACTGCTCGAATGAGGCCCGACGGCAGTCCATCCGCGGACCCCAGCTGTCCTGCGGAACGTGGGCAACAGAGCTCTACCGGTGTGACACCTTGTGGGCCTAGGTCCGAGCCGAGGCCTTTTTTCTATTTATAAGTGACATAGAAGCAGGCAGTTCTGCAGCTGATCGACGTTGCAAGGCATGGAAATAAATGTGCCTTATTGAAAGAGTCGCGTAGCCAAGAGGGGTTTCTCCGGATCATGTTGATGACTCTGAGTGGAGTCTCCCACTGAATGGGAAAGAACGGCGAGGCGACTAGGGTACACGCAGTTGACCACGCGACACCAAGTCTTCGATTCCTCCAATCATGATCTTATCGGACGGTCCAACCTCAAGTCAGCGCCATCGCCGCGCACACATGTAGTTGGACTACAAAAAGTGAGATTGGGGGCGCATTTGAAGTCAAATGATACCGCCAGGCTCATATAGACACGCTTGGGATAACCCGGCTATCTCAAGGTGATCAGGTTGTTGGACACGATAGTGAAGAAAAAGAGTTGCTTGGTCACATGCAGGGCGAAATCTGGACTTGGGACATTCATTAAAGCGCACGAGGGATGCGTAAAATACTGCTATACCGGAATCAAAGCGAGGTGTGAGGATAAATTGATACGATTCTTCATACTTCGATTGGCGACCTTCAGAGGGGATGATAGTTGGAAGTTTTGGATTACAAATGTTTATGCAAACTGGTCGATCAACGTGTCCCGCATCCCCGCAATAGCTGATGTGTCTTGGCCTTGTAGCTTGAAGGCAGCCTCGATCACCGAGACTTCTGTGGCCGATGTGTCCAAGCTGAGAGGGAGTTTGGTCATAGATGGTAAGTTCACATCTCATGCCATTTTTACAAGCAACCTCCAGGAGAAAACTTACCCGATAAATGCACACCAATCGTTGACTACCAAGCCGGCTCCAATCACGTCTGATCCTCGGTTGACTGTCCCAGCCTAGAGCAAGTTCAGAAAATATCAGCACGCCACATATACACGCAAAACATGATTCTTTCTCTTTTTTTCCATGATAGCCGCCAAAACAGTTTTATGGCGGATGAAAATGACTTACAACCAAGGGAACCTGAAGCAAGCTACTCAGCTCGTCCTGAGCTTGGATACTTGTCTTTGGGTGCACCAATGCACCTTGATTTGAGAGTGCGCAATAGGATCCTACGAGCACGTTGTTTGCAACCGTCTGACGGAAGACTTCGACCTGCAGGACATCTGCAATGATCTCTTCGGTTTCTCTATCGATATCAGGACTGAAGATCGAATGAAGGTATTAGTTCAGATCAAAGATATACATCCAGGTGAACGATAGTGCCCCGGGGAGAGGAACTGACTGGACAAGTGCTACATAATCATTGCACGCTATCACGTTTCCTAAAGCCGATAATCTCTCCTCTACCCGCTGCATGGCCACGCTGTCAGGTAACGAATTTCTCAGGTGTTGTAATTCTTGATCGGTGGTAGTGGCGGGGACCAAGAGACCATGCCGATTGCCTGCCATGACCAAGCAAAAAAAACGCCAACATCAACCTAATACGTCACATACTTGTCGTGTTTTTTTTTTTTTTTGGTTTGCGGCCTTCAAGGGAGTGAAAAATTCGGACGCACCACAAGTGAGTCTCCCGATGATCCTTGTCCCTGAAATCGTGGTATGGATCACCGGAATGACCTCACTAAGCTCAGATTCAAAAGTCGAGTAAAAGTTGGTTGAGCCAGTGGATAGTGAGGCCAGACAGTACGAATTTGTGAGATTGGCAAATACACCGACGTCTGAGGAGGATTCAAATCGACCCCCCAACAGCCATCTTCGAGATTAAGTTCCTTCTTGCTGTCTTTCTTCAATGCTTCTTGAGTTGAGTGTTTATGCAGTCTCCTGTGGTGTTGGTTGGCTTTGAGGTTTTCTTCTGGATGGAGACTGCTGTGTTGCTGTGGATGTCAAAAACTTGTGTCATATGCATCTTCGCTTCGGCTTATGCAAAATGGTCGAGCTGATTAGGGTTCGACGTCGATCCGATTGATCATGTATCCGCGGGGTTTCCATACCTCCGCATCGTTCGCGAGGGCAATTTTCAGGACGAGAGCCTCCATCGCAAACGTCTCACAATCATGATGTACATTCTCTCCGGGCGTCACTTGAGTACCACGGCCGCTACCTTCTGTGCCAACTTTCAAGGTTATATCTTGAATCACAAATTGTCCCTGTTGTCCAGGTTTATCAGCAATCGGATGAGCTTATCTTCCAAGGAATCGTTTGGGATTGGCCGGCTGGCAGCGCCAGTATCCATGTTGATTTATCCCGCTTCGAGAATTGTGAATGAGGATCTGGTTTTTATATCCATCATGTGACTTGATGTCAGAAGAAGACGCGCTGCTCTTAGGTTCTTATCCTGTACGCCTTACCGTATCCTCATCGATGCAACGATGGTGAAAGAGAATCCTCTTCTCAACAATAGCCAATCGAGGCAAGTTCTGCAGAACCTGTATCTGCAAGGATCGCATGGTTTGAGCGTTCACTCATAGCGAAGATGAGTTATAAATGATACAGTTCTGAATAAAAATAAGATGAATTTAAGAAGGGAAAAGAATTCTTCGAAGGAGTGAAGATGAAAATACAAAAGATGTATGAAAGAATCAATGGTAGTAGATAAAATATCTAAAACAAGTATGAAAGGAGAAGGTAGAAAAGAACAGCATATGAAAGGCTGATGAAGATGAGCAAAACACGAGACTCGGGGCGAGCAAGTTGGCCCTGTGCATCATGGTGCGGGGTGGCAGGAGTGCCAAGATTCTTCATCGGAGCACCGACAGCGTTGTCGCGCAAGTAGGCAAGTCGGGGGTGCTTGACAGTAACGGGGTAGCCAAGATCTCTCTGCACGATTTCTCGCAAGGTGGCCAGTTTCGACTTGGTGTCCACAAACAGAGCCATCTCTGACTCTCTTTGGATGGCTTGGCGGTAGAGATCGTTGTTGCTGGCGCGTCGGTGCTTGTCGATCAACTCTACAAAGAAGCAATCGGGGGGTTGGTGATGTAACTATATAATTATAACTTTTGAAGAAAGATTGTCCTCGCCCAAGATTACTACTCACCAAGCGCTTGAATCGCTTCGGGTCCGAGAGATTCAGCCATGGTTAGAGATCTGTGGTATGGGGTTTTCCTGGTTCATAAATTTAAATATTAGGCATTGTAAGCTTTCAGTTTAGAAGGCTTTCTGGAGGTGGTTTCGGAGTAGGAAAGAGAAGGCTACTATAATATTCCTTACCTGGTTTCTGGGGTTGAGTCGAGGGAAGGAGGGGGGGGGGGAGGAGGAGGGGGCAGAGTGTGTGGAAATACTTGGATGGTTGGGAAGAAACAGCATTGATGGGAAAGAAGTACTCGTCTTTATATTGTAGACATTTTCCGCTGAGCTTAGCTGCTTCTTGCTGCTCTCCATTGGCCAAAGCAGCTCCCTTTGTTTACAATCACTGTTGAAAGGCGTTACAATTGCCCGGACTCAATTAACCAGGCAGCAGGGCTTATTGCCTCTGAAAGGGACGCTATGTAACGGTTGAGACTTGGGAACACTCGCGGAATCAACTGGAACTGAGCCTATGTGTTGCTGCTTCCCTTTGAACGCAGTTGAACCATTGTTTTGTTGCCGCTTCCCTTTGAACGGAGCTAGACTACTTGTTTACTATTACTATTGAACATGATGTGCTACAACAGCTCACACTCGAAAGGGCTTTGAGCACCACATCATCCGGTCAAGATGTTGAGATTTTTGATTGAGCTTGAAGTCAAGCGGAAAGCTGCCACTTGTAGCTTAGATTACATGCGAGTTTTACCCCCAAGCTAAAATGAAGTTGTGCAATTGCAGTCGTTTCAGTCCGCCTTCAAGCTCTTGACTACAAAGCGTGTCTGGCCAAGGGATACACACCCAATCGCCAATCGCACCTGTGGTGTATTATTGATCAGATCTCATCCACATTTGTATTGTATGTGAAGAATTTGCTCCTTGGTTGATATATAAGTCGCTGTCGCACGGCTTTTCACGAAGCAAAGCCCAAAGAGAGCATAATTATTATCGATGAGGGCTCATGCTCAAGCGCTGCGGGGAGCGCCAGTCTCTGGAAAGACGTGGAATTTAACTTTTCACTCAAACCGATAAAGGATATGAATGATCTTTTTATGGCAAAGGCTTGATTGATTGAATCAGAAGAATTAAATTGCCTTCGAAGGAGGAATCATAGGACTTAGATCAAATTTGCTTATAAGGAGTATTTAACACCAACATTTAAAAGAGGCCTACAAGCAATCAAATCTAATTTGCAAAGATGACAAAGAAGAGAAGTGCAAGCAAAAGGCAGAAGAAGAAAATCAAGAGAAGAGATTTGTCGCTTAGACCAAGTTGCCCTTGCGCATCCCAGCGGGGAGTGGGAGGCGTGCCAAGGTTTTGCATAGGACGACCGACTTCCGTGTCCAGCAAGTACCAAAGCCGGGGGTGCTGGACAGTGACTTTGAATCCAAGGTCCCTCGCAACCATCTGTTTCAAGCTGTTCACTTTCGAGCTGGTGTCCACGTAGCGGGCTTTCTCCGACTCTCGCTTAAGAGCTTGTCGGTAGTATCTGTCTTGACAGGCGCGCTTGTGCTGGTCAAGCACATCTTGGAAAAGAACGAATGGAATGGATGAGGCTGTTAGTAAGGGTCGAGTCAGAAATTCTTGCGCAAACAGTAACTCACCAAGCGCTTGGATGGCTTCAGGTCCAAGGTTTTCTTCCATTGTGATAGTTGCGGAGTGGTTTCTTTTCTTAGCTCTGAAATGAAAAGATTCAACAGGAAAGTATGTTAGATCAGAAGAAAAGATTGCGGCGGCGTCGAGGGGGAAAGGGAAAGCTACTAGAAAATGATCTTACCGTTAAGTGTGGAGTTTAGTAGAGGGAAGTGGGGGCAAGAGGATGAATGGTGTGACGAAAGCCTTGGATGATTGGTGGGAAACAGAAATCGAGGAAGAACTTTGTCTTATTTATATTGAAGGATTTTGGCGCCGAGCCCTGCCCTCTGCTTTCCATGGGGCGAATCTGCTCCCCTTGTCTACTATTACTGATGAAAGGAGTTGAAACTGCTGAGACTCAATTGGACGGCGAGCAGAGCTTATTGCTTTTGAAAGGGACGCGATGCAACCGTTGAGACTTGGCAAGACCCACACCATGAATTGAAACTGAGCATATCTATTGCTGCTTCCCTTTGAAAGAAGAAGATCTACTCGCTCACCATTGCTGCTGAACAGGATGCGCTACGACTGCTCAGACTCAAATGGGCTGTCAGCGCGTAAAAACCTCGTTGGATTGAAGCTGCTTCCTGTTCATTGGTTATTGTAAACAAGTAGATTGCCTTCATTCAAAGTGAAAGTATTTAGCAGACTGAGCCTCTTCTAGAGCAGGCGCCAGCAATTACACACTTGAAGTGCGGAGCCCACCAGACCTGCTGCTGGTTCTGCTGAGCTGCTGATAGCGCTGCTTCCTGAGGCTCAGCAGCCACGGAAGGTATATAAATATAGGCTGATGGTTCCGCCAGTACCAGTCGTCCCCCCAACTCCAGGTCTTGCCAGGCGCACCCACCTATCCCATCTCTCCGCTTCACACCTTCTTATTTCTACAACAACAACTTACAACTACCTAGTACAATAATCATAAATCATGGAGCACATACCTGATTCTAACGATTCTCCAGCGGAATTTTCTGGTGGCTCCTTTACTCCCCCTGGAACTCCTCCACCTCTTTCTGCTGGCTCCTTCACTCCCCCAGGAACTCCTCCACCTCTTTCTCCTTCCCACCCCCTCTTCCTTCGCAACCAGCAGATGGTTGAAGACTCCGATGTTGATGGCGAGTCAATGGAGGAGGATCCAGAAGAAGAATCGCGTCGACAAATTCGCGACATGATCCAAAACTTCGACGACTCGGATGAGCCTTATCTCTTGTTTCAAGTGGATGGCGAAAGGGTTCTCGCTCCGGGGGAAACAAGTGAAGGCGCAATTAACCCAGATCGAATTCAAGCGGCTCTTCAGAATCTTGCTCCCGAAGATGAAGAAACCGTTGTTGCTTTTTTCAACAAGATGAAGGACGCTTACCTTGAACTGGTGAACAACCCTCAGCGAGACAGGTTCAATGCTGAAGAGGACTCTTACTACCTTCACGATTTGCCCAAAATTGGCCTTATCTTGCGAGCTATCGATGGATCTGATGCACAACTCTTGGCGGATCTGCTCTTGAGCTGGATGACTCTTATTCAAAATGTTGCAAGTGCTCGCAGAAGGCGCAGGGTTCAAGAGCTGTTGGACTGTATGACAAACCCGACCGTTTCCCAGTTGTCATCACTTAGCGCAGACTCTTTGACTGGGGTCTCTCTTTCAGAATGCTCGATTTGTCTGGACGACTTCTTCGACAACAAGCGCATCATTGTTCAAGCACCATGCCACCCTACTCATGCCTTTCATCGAATCTGCCTTCAAGTAAGCAATCTCTTAATATATATATGTAGTTCTAGCACTTATTGCTGATTCCAATGAATTGTTACGGTACAGGACTGGTTAGAAGGGCGACTTGACTGTCCTATGTGCCGAGCCCAATTTATACTTCATCATTCATCCTGAAGCTCTATTGGACTTTTGTATTTCTTATTTCACTTTGTATTGAACTCTAAGTTCCACCCCCTATGCCCCTATGCACCGATTTTGCAATTAGAAATACCAATTGACCTATTTTAGAACGTGTCCCTTGACTTTCTGAGCTCCTCTGCCTTGACTGTAAGCGCAGAGCCCCATTAGGTTCAATTCCTGCTAAGAAAGTAAGCTTATAAAAAAGTGACTTTACAGTGTATCATTTAAAAAGGCTCAGTCAATCGATCACCTGGTACACAACCAGATTCATTCTTTGACGTGAACGACAGTGATTAAAAAAATATTCCTGCTGCGATCCCGCCGGGCCGTCGAAAGTTTCCAATTGTGTTAGATCAAATAATCAATTATATCTGTTCCTCTCAAAAGTTACTACCAAACTCATTCAGAATATTCAACCATAAATGAGATCTTTGCTGTGTTATTTGATGAGTAAAGGAATAACACATTAAAGAAATAAAGACTTAAGATCAACCAAAGCAGTCTTGTAGTAATACAAAGTATTGAAGTCTTCTTTTCTTATCAAGATAATACCAAGATTTTGATCATAACATCAAAATTTCACTTGCTTGAACAGGAACTTTGATTATCCAACATATCTCAACATCTTAACTGTAGCATGGTTAATTTACTGCTTTCATATTTTCTGAATCTGTACTACTGCTCTAATTAGGTACATGTTTTTTTGCTCCATGTTTTTGCTCCAGAATATATTGCCTTCATTGTAAAATTATCAAAAGATCTTGACAAAACTGGAACAAAACAACTCTTATAAGTCTTCAATTTAGATATTAAAAGTCCAATTCAAATTTCTCGATTGTTGGGAAGTCCCTAGGTATGATACAGATAAATACAAAATAGTCCATGGTGAGAACCAGCTCATAAAAGGTATTGTCGAATTGAGTTACATAGCTAAAAATGTTTTTTCAGGTAAATTTCTCATGTTAAGTCAAGTAAATATTCAGTGATGGATCTTCAGAAAACAGAGCAAATTGAATGCAGCACAAATTTGTGAGATTGTCACATTCCCCCACGTCAGACGAGGATTCAAATTGGCACCAGACAGTCATGTTCAATATGTAATTATCTCTTTCCTTTTTCTCAAAGTTTCTCGAAATCTAAAGGTGTCGATGTCAAAAACTTGTGTCACATGGATCGTGATTTCGGCTTATGCGAAATGGTCGAGATTAGGTTTCGACGTCAATCCGCGGGGTATCCGCCCCGCAATGTGCATTGGCGAATCAAGCTGGAGGTCTAACTTAACTGGCCAGAGCTTCCTTCGCAAACGACATAATCTGCTATAATGACTATTTTCTTGGGACGTATCACGTACCTTGGGCACCACTTCCGGTTTCCTCTTGTGCTAAGGTTATATCTTTCATCACAAATTACAATGTGCCCGTTGTCCCGCGTTATCAGCCGTCGGATGACCAGAGCTTCCTTCGCAAACAACTCATAATATGTTATGATGACTATTTTCTTGAGACGTATCACGTACCTTGGGCACCACTCCCGGTTTCCTCTTGTGCTAAGGTTATATCTTGCATCACAAATTGCAATGTACCCGTTGTCCCGCATTATCAGCCGTCGTATGAGCTTATCTTCAAAGAAATCGTTTGAGATTGGCCAGCTGGGAGTGCCAGTAACAATGTTGATTGATCCCGCTACGAGAATTATGAATGAGAGTCTGGGTTTTTTAGCTACCACGTGACTAGATGTCAGCAGGAGACGCGTCCCTCTCGGGCTCTTATCCCTCTCTTCCACGTGAAGGGTACTCCTGACTGTATCTTCATTGATGCAGAAACGGTCAAGCACGTGTATTCCTAACCAGAGGCTTGGTCTAACAGAAAATACCCTTCTCAACATTCTCAACAATAGCCACTCATGTCCGAGGCAAGTCTTACAGAGCATGTATCTAGAAGAATGGCATGTCATGATTCGAGCATTCACTCAAAGCGAAGGTGAGTTATAAATGATACAGTTCTGAATAAAAATAAGATGAATTTAAGAAGGGGAAAGGATTCTTCGAAGGAGTGAGGATGAAAAGACAAAAGATGTATGAAAGACTTGGTAGTAGATAAAATATCTAAAACAAGTATGAAAGGAGAAGGTAGAAAAGAACAGCATATGAAAGGCTGATGAAGATGAGCAAAACACGAGACTCAGGGCAAGGAAGTTGGCCCTGTGCATCCGGGGGTGGATTGGCAGGAGTGCCAAGATTCTTCATCGGAGCACCAACAGCATTATTGCGCAAGTAGGCAAGCCGGGGGTGCTTGACAGTAACTGGGTAGCCAAGATCCCTCTGAACGATTTCTCGCAAGGTGGCCAGTTTCGACTTGGTGTCCACAAAGAGAGCCATCTCTGACTCTCTTTGGATAATTTGGCGGTAGAGCTCGTTCTTGCTGGCGCGTCGGTGCTTGTCAATCAACTCTGCAAAGAAGCAATCCGGAGCGTGGTGATGTTAGTGTACCGCTAAAAGCTTTGGAGAAAGATTCTCCTCGCGCAAAAACACTAATCACCAAGCGCTTGAATCGCTTCGGGTCCGAGAGATTCAGCCATGGTTAGAGCTCTGCGGTCAGGGTTTTTTCTTGGTTCGGAAATATGAATATTAGGCAGCTTAAGCTAGAAGGAGATGGAGCTTTCACCGGAGGTAGAAATAAAAGGCTACTATAAATCTTTCTTACCTGAAGTCTGGGGTAAAGTTGAGGGAAGGAGAAGGTGGGGGAGGAGGAATGGAATGGTGTGGCGAAACAGTGGGATGATGAGTGACAAAGAGTAACGAAGGGAAATAAGTACTCTTATTTATAATGCTAACGTTTGGCGCTCAGCATGACTGCTGATTGCTTTATTCCATTTGCCAAAGCTGCTCCCCTTGTTCACAATTACTGATGAAAGGTGTAACAAATGTTGAGACTAAACTAGATGACCGGGCTTCTTACCTCTGAAAGGGACGCGCTGCTGCCGTTGAGACTTGGCAAGACATCACGACATTAATTGAAACTGAGCCTTCATATTTTGTTGCTGCAAAGTTGAACGATGATTACCTACTTGTTTACTACTACTACTGAACAGGATGCGCTACAACTGCTCAGACTCGAAAGGGCTTTGAGCGCGTAAAAATTATGATTACATTGAAGCTACTTTGTAATGGAAACCTTACGCTTCACATTCAACTTAATTTCTCAATAAGTTCTTCCGATCGCCAGGTGCTCATAGCCCTTTCGAGTCTGAGCAATTGTAGCTCATCTTGTTCAGTGGGAATAGTAAGCGAGGAGATCACCTTGATTCAAAGGGAAGCAACAATAAACAATTGATGGCGTGAGTCTTGCCAAGTTTCAACGGTTTCATCGCGTGCCTTTCAGTAGTGGCAGGTCCTGTCGCCCATCCAATTGAGGCTCAGGAATTTCAACGCCTTCCATCAGCAATAGCAAACAAGTGGAGTAGCTTTGGCGAATGGAAAGCAGAGAGCAGCAGCTAGGCTCGGCGTCAAATGCCTAAAATATAAATAAGAATTCTGCTGTAGTCACCCACCATCCAATTATTTCGGCACACCCTTCCTCTTCACCCTCATCCCCTTTATCTAACCCCAGACTTAAAGGTAGGAAGTATTAGAAGTACCTTCCTCTTTTTCTCCTCCACACCACCGCAAGCTATTTCTCTGACCTAAAAGACTCTCCTCTCGAATCTTCTCACCCCAGAGCTAAGAAACTCACCCACTCCGCAATCTCACAATGGAAGAAAATTTGGGACCTGAAGCGATCCAAGCGCTTGGTAATTTCCAGCTCACTTGCAGGATAGTTTCTCACTCGACGTTTACTGACAGTCTCATCCCGCTTATGTTCTCCTTTCAAGAGGTGCTCGACCAGCACAAGCGCGCCTGTCAAGACAGATACTACCGACAAGCTCTTAAACGAGAGTCGGAGAAAGCTCGATACGTGGACACCCACTCAAAAGTGAACAGCTTGAAGCAAATGGTTGCAAAAGAACTTGGATTCAAAGTCACTGTCCAGCACCCCCGCCTTTGGTACTTGCTGGACACGGAAGTCGGTGGCCCCATTCAAAACCTCGGCACTCCTCCCACCCCCCGCTGGGATGCACAAGGGCAGCTTGGTCTGCGCGACAAGCCTCTTCTCTTGCTTTTCTTCTTTTGCCTATCACTTGCACTTCTCTTCTTTGTTATCTTTGCAAATTATATATGATTGCTTGTTGGCAGTGGTAAGTTTCTTATGAATCCTTGTAACAACTACCCAATAACAAAAATATTATATATGCCTTATGATCTCTCCTTTGAAGAAAATACAATTTTTCAAGTTCAATTCAATTGAGTTTTCTTCTTACATCGCAGTCGAAGACATTCGCGACTTAATATCTGGTGTTTCTGAGACTTCCCTGACAACCTATCTCCGTTTTGAGTGAAAAAAGAAATCTCACGATTTTTCCAAAAACTGGTGAGATAAGCGGCTTGGACATGACCGCTTGTGTATCATGATTGTGTTATTTTCAGGCTCTTCTTGAGGAGACTTCTGCTTCACAGCACGGCCGTTGCTGCAGCCGCTTGTTTTTCAAATCAGCAGCACATTCTCCACAGATGAGAAAAGTAGATGAGATCTGATAAATGACACACCGTCGATGCAATTGAAGATTGGATGTGTAAAAAAAGAGTAGTGAACCCTATCTGCATAACGCTGGATCACAAAATCCCTCATGGTAAAGTTGAATTCTGACAAGTTAAGTTGACAATTTACTGTTGGGATTGACATTTTGATCAATGAGTGTTCCACTGATTGATTAATTAAGAGGATGGACAGTAAAGTTCAAATTAGGGGAATCAGACCCCTAAATTGAACAAACAAACCCTCACCGGAGAATTGGACAACTCAGGACATCTCTGAGTGGTTGAATGGACCCAGACATAGACAAATTTGGGCAAATTATGGAGGTTGCTTCTTGAAAACCTCTTGTAAAGTTTTCCAAAAATTTGACAAGAATGAGATAACAGAACACTGATAAGTTTTTATTTCAGAAATTGTAAGTCCAACTAAAATTTCATGATTGATTACAAATCCCTCAGTATTATGAAAAGATCTAAAAAAATCACAAAGATGAGGGACAGTCAGAATCTATTGGTAAGTGAGGGCAACATAGATGGAAGAATATTCTCCAGGTACATCACCCATGTTGTGTCAAATAAATTTCCACAGATTCGTATTTGGAAATTAAAGGAGATGACATGTTCAAACCCCCTCCTCTTCCCTCAAGATGGGTCAAATATCAAACCAACTACAAACATCATTAAATGGGTAGAAACAGAGAGAAAAAAATACACATTTCTCGAGAATTCAATGTGCACATAAGCTTTTTATATGATTTTTTCAATTTATTATTTATTTGTTGAGCAGTATTGCCATTGTCATAACTTGGATTTAGTTTGCACCAGGAATAGAGGAGAATAAATTTAGTTGGAAAGAAACAGAATTTATTATAAAGAAAAGAAAAAGAAACAGGAAAGAAGTTGCTTTAGATGTATTTGCTACTTATTTTAGATGTGCCAACTTAACGGAAGAACAATCAATTGAATGATTGATATTCCCATACATACTGGATTAGCTTTGTGTATACAAAGGAAGAGAAATATGGGAAAGCATTTCTGTGAACTTCAAATGTAAATTGGGATGGAAAATTGTTCAAGAGCAACAATTCAAATTTGTTCATCTTCAATGCCATGATGGAAGATCTGAGTTATTTTCAATTTCTCTACTGATCCAACTCCATTCTTTTTTGGTTTGATAGCCAGCTTGATAATGTTTTGTCTCTCATAGCTTCAGAGTAAGCCTTTTTGTATTCTTCAGTCATCCCTATGATTCTGTCACAATAATGATCATAGATATCTATTTTTTCATTGTCCTCCAGCTTTAGGGATTTTGGATTTTGAAGTCTGATAAATGATTGGAATTGTTTTTTCAGCTTGATGGTGTCTTTGATTCTTGAGTGCAGTAATATCAAGCCAATTTTTGCTTCAAATCTTCCAACATCTGCAACTGTTCTGCTTGATTTTTCTCTCATTATTCCTGGCAACAAAGCTTGGTCAATGAAATGCAATAGTTCACAGCTGATATTGAGTAACCTTTGTTCGGATGATCTTAGTGGTAAATTGTTCTTTGTGAGTTGGAATATCAGTTCAACAAGATTTTGAACATCCTCTGTGTTATCATAATGTTTGGCCTGTTCATGAAATTTAGCTGAATGGCCTGCAAAGTATTCTGGGTTTTTGGCCGATTGACTATCACTAATCATCTTGATAAATTTATCCACCAAAAAGGACTTTTTGAAGTTTGACCACTCCCAACATACTTTCTTTCTGAAACTAACCCTTCCATAGAACTTCAAATTTCTAACGCAAACAGACAAATCAAGGATCATCTGCTCTTTAGCACCAAAGGCTGTTTGGATAGAGTGGCAAATTCAATATGAGTATTTCATATGGTACATTTCTAGCTGTTTAGAAAGCATATCAGGATGTGCTTACCCTCAAAAGACTTATTCAAGATCCGCAAGTACCAGTGTTGAGTGATGGCAATTTGAGAATTGTAAATAGTGTCACGCGTTTGTTTCCAAAAGTTGGAGTAGATGTAATCAGACAATTGCTCCAATTTTTGCGCCTCTTCAAGTCCAAATGCGCTTCTCACACTATCTCTTTTGACAAAGTTGTTCTTGTACAAAAGATCAACTACTTGGCAAAAATACTCCATGACTGGCGATGATGTAGCTTTTACTTTGTCCAAGTAGAAGTCAGATTCAGCAATGATAAGCTTGTCCTTCATTGCCTTCATCTCCTCCAAAAATGATTCCCCCTGTCGCTGGCATTCCCTCTGCAGATCGTCTGGATGTAGGATAGGAGGAAGTGTCATTTTTTGATCGGCTTTGCGGTTTACTGCAAACAGTTGCTGGACCTCTTCCATGGTGAGCGCAGATTCTCCTAGCTCGAAAAGCTTCAATTGGACCATCATCTCAATTTTCTTCTCAGAATTGATGAATGTTTCGGCGGCCTCCAGAATGGACGATGATTCTTTGGATCCCATTCTATCTAGGATGTGGCTCAACCTTTCTGTGAGTTGCGCCATCGGGTCTAAAAGCAGGATCAAATCTTTCTTGATCGAAGCGACTCGCACTACGAATGGAAAACAGTCTTCCTTCAGCAATCTGTTCAGTATTTATGAAGGTTTACGTAGGACACTTACCTGGAAGTCCGCCGGACCTTTTCAAGACATCTGTCCCGGGAAGTGTAAGCAATCATTGACGTTACAAACTTCAACACATCAAAAAGAATTTCATGCACTGAAGAGTTGACTGACGAATTTGATAATCGGGAGTGCTCCACAATAATAGATTTTGGCGAGATCTTTGCCGCAGGATTCCGTGTTGGACAGGAGTTTTCCTGCTATCAACGGCCATAGGCTCATGATCTCCATAGACCCCGCTGAGATCTGTGTCGGACGACTGCACCGGTCTTGCAATCGAAGTTTTTCGCTTTTTGGGAACAGGCAGTAACACTATGAGGATGCATTTGAGGATTGGCAGGAGACGATGATCAAGGAATCGATCAGCAACAAGGTACAAAGTTGTATATATCTCAACAAGGTTGGGACATTTTTTTTTATTTACCATCACTGCCCTCTGCTTCGATTGTTCTCAAACGACGCGTATTTGGAAGCGTGCCATGTGCACCTGAGAGGAACCAACAGCCAATCAGTAAATATTGGCAGAGCATGTTTGATATCGATTCGGGATGATGTTAGCTGTCGAAGGGTAGGAGAAAACTGGGGACAAGTCTCCAAATCACTTCCGCCGACTGCACGGCTTAAATGTTCCTCCCTTCAAGACCAATGTGTTCTTTTTTTGCCCGAGGTGCTGAGTCTGCCATATTACAATCCAGCTCATACTCTTTTTGCGATAACTATTACAAAAGCTCCGACCCTCATCGGAAACCCAAGCTTGTAATTTTTGGCCTCAGTGCAGTGTCACTGCCCTCCAAACTGTTACATGCTATCAATACCTTGTTCGAGTCTGGGTTTGAAGGTTGTAACTATCAGTAGTTATAGCTAATTCAACACGTATCCAAGCTCGACTTTCGGTCAAGGAAGTGGCGGCCAAGCTGGTTCTTTGGTCGAGTACGTCGTGTCGATGAACAAGCTCCGGTGAAACAAGCGATGTCATTTTTCTTCTGCTCATTAAAGCTCGTTGATACAAATGCGCATCTTGACGGGGAAACTTGTCAGATGGAAGAGGACTCATCTGCCTTGAGCAACCGCTCTTGCAAGCTCAACTCAGCGGCCGCAACAGCCCCAGCCTGGTAAAACTGTTTCTAAGCAGAGTGTGATATCTGTGGCCAATCCACCATTCTAGTCATAATGGTTTCGTGTCGAAGATGAGATTGAAGTTACCCGGGTTCAAATGTAATGGATAGCACACCCACGTACATACATGTATTTTCTGATTCTTGGGTGTTGGAATGTAGTTGTTCTAGCGTTTCTCGCAATCTTAGGCCGAATGATGTTTTTTTTTGGTGATTTGGTCTCAATTACAACACCCTGTGGTAAAAGGTCATTAAAAGGATGTGGGAGTCAATGGGATCTTATATTCCACAACCATGAATACTCAAAAGCTTTGACCACGAGATTCCAAGAGGGCGGTTAGTCAACCAATCGGGCAAAACGAAACATGAAAAGATAACTCCCAAGGGACCATATTCTTAAGTCATGGTCCCAGCACTCTCATCTTCGGCATCCTCGATGCTCCATTTCGCAGCCACAGACACGTCCATTCCCGAGGTTTTACCGCGCGCCAGCTTGTCGATTCCCGTCCAGGCGACCATTGCCGCGTTGTCGGTGCAAAATGAAATCGGGGGGATGTGCAGCTTCAGTTCGGGATCGATCGACTTGAGTAGCTTTTCAACCCTGTAAATAAATGATGACAGACGCAAGCAAGAAAGTGATGTGAGAATGGTTGGAGGAATGTCTTGAGACATCGGACTTGTGGAAGGTGGACGAATGATGGCGGGTGTTAAGCTCGGCAGGAAAAGCGGCACCTGTCTCTCAAAATCTGGTTGCTACCGACCCCGCCGCTGATGACCAAGCCCTTGAGTTTTTCGGGATGGGTGGAAGAGAGTTGATGGATCCAGTGGCGAAGTTTGCGCTCGATCTGGCCAAAGGCGGCGTCGAAGAACGCCCTGCCGATTTTGCGTTTGTGCGCGGTGGATGGATGGCGGTCCGGGTGGGCGGCCAGTCGCCGGATGGTTGCCGTCTGGAGGCCGCAGAACGAGAACACCGACGGCCCCGTGCGCAGGGCCAGCGGCAGCGCCGCCTCCTCTTCCCCCGCCAGCTCGTCTGCATCCCCCTCGTTCACAAACATCTCCAGCGCTGACCCCGGCGACGCGCTCCCCTCCGGCCATGGCACATCCAATGCCCGGGAAATCTTGTCAATGGCAAGCCTTTGAGTACATTTGGAAGCTGGTCAACATGGCTGAAGTAGACACGCGAGAAGAAGTCGACTGGATGATTTATTGATTACTAGGATAGGAGAGACTCACCCTAGGGGCTTGTCTGCCGTATTAGCCAAGATCTTGAATTCGCTGGTCGACTTGACCAGGACCAGCATTGTATGTCCACCTGAGACCAACAAGGACAAGAACGGAAACTCGATTTCGTCGTGGGTCTGGGTCAAGAACGGCGTAAGAGCATGAGCTTGCTGCAAATCAAACCACATCATCCAAGCCGTCGCGCGAAGGAAGGAGAGTCAGCACCACGAAGTCTTCTCTCCATCGTATCACAGCGCTCAACCCAGCCAAATCTTAGAAGACTTTTCTCACCATGTGGTGGACCGCCAACAATGGTATCCCTGTCGCGATCGCCAGACTTTTGGCCGCCGTGGCTCCTACCGCCAGACAGCCTGCTATCCCTGGCCCACGAGTGTATGCGATCCCATCGAGCTCGGTGAGCTTGAGGCCTGCTTCTTTCAAGGCTCGTCCGATCGCGATAGGCTGCAAGGCTCGGGAGAGAACAACCGACAATCATCAGTAATTAGAGTTGTAGAGCCGACTGTTTTCGAACCCGGCCAGGCCTGTACGATTTCGGGGAGGGGTGGCCGACGAAGGCAAGGCAAGAAGAGAGACTGACGACGTTGATCTGGTGGGCATGGATGGCATGGTACGGATGGATGCCGTTGAAGGCCTTGTGGACATCGTTCTGGCTCAGCCGGACGTTCGAGAGGATCCGCTTGTCGGAGCCGACGATGCTTGCACACGAGTCGTCGCACGAGCACTCGATCCCGAGCACCCGGACCGGGCCGCCGGAAAGCCGCCTCGGCCACCCGATCGAACAATCCTCACCGCCGCTGCTCGGTCCTCGGTCGAGCGTTTGCCAGCTACGATTCAGCTTCCGGGCGTGTACAATCGATCCGGACAATCGTACCAACATCGAGTTCGCTGAGTCCACTTCACAAGTTTCAAACAAAATATTCACAATTACTGACTGAATCCGAGCTTCACAAATGAATACGTCTTTATGCAATGTGTCCTCACGCCCGGCTCACCGAGAGATTGATGATTCCCCCCTCTCATGAAGGAATGCAACCTTGGCGAAAGAACACAAACTAGATCAGGACAGGGCTTCGATCGCTCATGAAAAAGAATCAAACTAGACTCCGACCTGCATCCCCTTCATACCTGCAGCGATGCTCGACAGCTGGCTCACCTTCTGATTGGCCGAACCCGAAAGTTCAACTTTCACCACATCTTCACCGCCGTGTGAAAACGGCCACACGCCATACGGCATCCGCGAAGAAGTAATCAACCGAGCTTGTCCGTGAGTCCCGGTCCCGTTGCAACGCCGGGGCAAATACGCAACGGCTTTCCAAATCATACCAAAAAAAACCGCCACTCAGCCCTCATCCTGGACGACCGTTCCATGGAGTGAGCTCTATGTGCGTTGTAGGGGAGTCGAACCTCTGACGAGGCCATGGCAAGGCCCCAGTTTACCGCTAGCCTAACAACGCCATGACGTTCTCATCCTGCCTAGCAGATCCCATGGAATAGCTGGTTGCTGTTCCAATTCAGCCCCTGCAAATGCAGAGGAATCTGTGAAACCCACAGACCCATTCAGAGGTTAGCTGGGAGACATCCAGTATCGGGTTGGATGCTCAAACTCTCCAGATATTGGGCTACATGCAGGGGGGGGGGGGGGGGGCATAAGCCCTGGACAGGGTCCCAGATAAAAGCCTTTTGGCTTCATAAATAATTTGTTCAGATTTGGTTCCTCTCTAAGTGTGGCCAGCATGCCTCCTCATAGTATACCATGAAGATGAAGAACATGCAACAAGTGCCAAGCTCATAAAGTTCTGGACACATCAAAGAAACTCACTGACATTATAAAGCCAGATTTCAGGGTGAGAAAATGGGGATAGGCAAAAGGAGGATGCCAACTTTGAAGAGTGTTTAGAGACACTGTCAATCAAATCCAAAAAATCTTGTTCCCACTGTTCCAGTTCACCAATTTTTCCAAGTGCAAATTGGGAACTAGTAAGAGACAATGTTCTGGGTAAAAGACAATGTTCTGGGTAACAGACAATTTTCAGGGTAACAGAAAATGTTCTGGGTAACAGACAATGTTCTTGGAATCCTTATCATCAAACTCTGTTGGAAAGCTCTACAATTACCACTACCAGCTTCTAAGAAAAAAAGTCAAGCAACTATATAAGCCCTCAGGGATCTTAAACCTTCCTCCTATACTGCAGTCTCATATTCTTCTTCTTGTTGAATTTTGAGTGAAAATTCAAATGTTCAGAAAAAATCAAATCTCTGATAATCCCACTTGCAGATCACTTTGTCCATCCCATGGATTTACAGCCTCCATTTGTTCAAAATCTATTTTGTTTTATCCATCCCATCCTTAAGCTTACTTGATTCTATAAATGCATCAGTAATCTTGGACATTCTTCTCATGCATCAAGAATGTGTACAGGTAGGAATATGAAAATGTCATGTATATAAACCTTTTGAGAGTTCCTGCTGTCTAGTAATTGTGGCCTAATGGTGTAATATGAATTCTGAGTGCTTGATGAATAATTATATTCCATGATTGGAAAGGGTTTAATTTAAACCCATTTGGAGTACAAGTTGAGCTTTACATAAATAATCATAGATGCAATGGTGGGCCATTTACACAAAAAAAGATGCTACACTAACACTTATTGGGAAAAAAGTGTAGTGTGGCGGCCCACCATTGATGAATGCAAATTGTGTTTCAAATTCTTCAAATGATTTGAAGATGTGCAACTGACCCTCACATAAATCACATTCATCAAAATCAGTATTTGTACAGTCAGTAAACAATTGAGATATGCATATATATATATTCATTCAATAGAAAAGTAATAGAAAGATTTGAAAAATGGTCCAATCATTTTGAGAAAGATAGCCCATACGTACATGAAATTGTTTTATAGAAAACATTAAATTTTGATTGCAGGGTTCTCAATTTGAGGAAGCTGTCACCCAAAGCAGCTGCAGAAAACTGTAAGCATATGATTAAAAAGATTTCACTGCCCTTTTTCCTGTGTCGTAAACTGAATTTCATCCTGGATGATCACAGCAAAGAAAAAAGAAAATAGGAATACAAAAATACAGAAAACTGAAAGGAGCAGAACAGAAATCAACTTTACAGGTCAGCTTAACTGTCAACAGGTAAGCTTAACTGTCAACAGGTAAGCTTAACTGTCAACAGGTAAGCTTAACTATCAACAGGTAAGCTTAACTGTCAATCTTCAAGTAGGAATAAAAGAAGAGAAACACTTACTAAAGCTTTCTCTGTTGCTCTCAGTTGACAACGAAAATACAGGCAGCAAAAGAATAACCAAGGGCCATCCATCAGGAAAAGCCAGAGGCAAGTCTTGCTTGCTATTGTAGCAGTCAGGCATGCAGGAGAAGCTAATAAAAGCCTGTCTATTTTGATAATAGAACAAGGCAACACTCTCATCAATCACATTAGCTGAAGGCTATTAGGAACCTGAGATAAGGTCTCACCTTATAGGCTTATCAAAGTAAGACGTAAACACTTGAGAAGATAAATAAGACACAGGAGCTAATTAATCTCATTGCATCTCTCTTACTTGATTATGCTTAACAAAGCAATTGGGAAAAGAATCATTTCTAGTTTTATTAGTAACTTCTTCTTTTATATTCTTTCACTACTTCCCATCGTCTCCTAGGTTGGTTTATTGTCTTTATTCTATACAAAGTCTTCTACCTTTGTCTAATGAAATTAAATCCTAGACTTTTGAATTATTTCAAAAAGCGCACAAACCCTGTAGTGTTAGCACAGTGTTAGTCCCACTACACTGAGCTACACTGATTTCACTGGCAAAAAGGGCCAAAAAAAACTTCTAAAATGTGCTGTCATGCAGTTTAGTGGGCCCTTTTTTGTGGCCTGTGCAGTTGTGACAGAATTCCACTGTGCTACACTAAAGGTTAGGGGAATTCTGCTACATTACGCTGTGCTCACAAGTCTGTTAGTGTTGTTGCAATGCTTGGAAGCATACCACTCCAAAAAAAACTGGCGTTGGGAATGCAACCAATAAGGATATGTTGGAACTTGACTTCTCATTCTCTTGTTGTTTTACTCAATGGTAAATTCTTTGTCACTGGTACTCTATGTTTTATTCATTAATTCATTATGCTTGTGTTCTTTGCTTCCACAACTCAAACATCATGTATTTAGTTCATTGAAGCCACCCGATACATGAGAATGAAAATATCATCAGGTCTGCTTATAATTGATACTAACAACGGTGGGAAAGCTACGCTAACCGTAGCGTTAGCGTAGCAAAAAATCGCTACAATGTAGCGTAGCGTTAGCACATTTTTCAATTTCTGTGCTAACGCTACGCGCATGGGGGAAAAATTTGCGCTAACGTTTAGCGTGATTCCCCCCATGTGCGCTAACGCTACGCGCACAGGGCGCAAAAAACCGCCCGCTACGCTGCATTACAGCCATTTTTAGCGGTTTTTGGGCGTTTTTTGCCGCTAAAAACGCTGTAGCGTAGCGGCGCCAGCGGTGCGCTAATACTACACCAAAATTTGGCTAGTGTTAGCGCCGCTACAAGTTAGCGTAGCGCAGCGGCAGTAGCGGCGCGCTAACACTACACAAAAAAAAAATGGCGCCGCTACGCTAACGCTACATGGGCCTGTAGCGTAGTGTAGCGTAGCGGCCCACAGCTGATACTAAGGTGACACTTAAGCCTCCCTCAGCCTTATATTGAGGGCACTGCAGGCCTCTTGCTGAAGTTTCTAAGCATATCCTCAGACCTTGTCTGCTTTTGTCTCCACTGAATTTTCCCTCATCTTTGCATATTATTACAACAGAAGAAAAATTGGTAAAATTTGCATGCAAAGCATTGATTGTGAGCTGTGACCCTCAATCTTCCAGCTAAGAATAACTATATGTGCATCTATGATTTTATCAATGCTGTAAAGAAACTGAACACACTTTCTATCTGGGGATATTGTTTCTTAGAAGTCAAGATATTTTCACCCCTGTCAACTGCCAACTGGCTATTCAATAGCCCTCGTACACCGAGTACGAAGGCTATACAAGGTCATCTGAGATGACCCTCGCCGTCCCTCGCCCCGCTGGCTGAGGATTACATAATCAGCTCGTCCGAACTCGCAAGCAAAGGTCCATTGGCTTCAATCGCTGCGCAACTGCTGGGGATCGCAGCATTGCACAGCTGCTGTCATCGGCATCATTGGTCCCGAATCCCACCCGTGCAGCCTCGTACCTCAAAAGATGCTCGCGGAAAACCAATCCAAATCGAGGTTCTCATTCCAATTGGACACTCGCATACCGGAGAAGGAGACATTGAACAGGAAGGTCTTTTAGATGGCGGTGTTGGTGAAGAAGACAAAGAGCTTCTGGTGCAGGCTGTTTTCTAATGATCAGGTAAGCGTAAAATGGTGTCAATTGTTGCCTGCTATCCAGGTTACAAAAGGAACTTTGTAGGCAGTTTTTTGTGAATTTCAAGATAAAAAAAGCAAAGTGATGAAGATGGAAAGAGGTGAAAAACAAGAGGAAACAGATGCAAGAATAAGACAGTATAGCTTCATGAGAGTGTTTAAGGTTTGAAATTTCAAGGAAACCAAAAGAGGTCTGAGGGAGAATGGGTTAGTAAGTAATGTGTAAAAGAATTTGAGTCCTCCCCCAACTTGAAAATTGAAGGAGAGTTGTTTTGGAATTTGGGTCAAGCATCTCTCACAATTTGAATTTGTATCCTAATGATGTTTCATTCTCTGAACATATGTTATGATTTGTACAGTTCTTACTTGCCTTTCCCATTGAGCATGGAATTTCATTTATTCTACATATTTACAATGACTTGAGTGTCAAATTGATAAAGTGTAAGATAAATGCCGATAAATGATAGAGACTGAGTTCAGAGTTCCTATGTAATCATGTTACAAAGCCACATTTTCAAAGGAAATTGAATTCATGCAAACATCTAGTTATTTGTTCAAAAATAATATCACTTAGTCTGGGCTGTCCAAATAGGGCCTTGGTTTTGATATGGGTAAGCTGATTATTGAATGTGGGGCAACCCATTTTTTGTTTTATATGATTTATAATACTTAAACAAACCCAGAGTTTTTGTTCTATATTGTTCTATAATAATCCAACTGCTTGATGTATTACAAAAATTTCACTTAGTAAGTAATAGACATTATTGGTCAATTTGAAGCAATTTGAAACACATCACATAACTACATACATGATTTCCAAAATGATTAATGTGTTCTTCATTAGCATTAAATGTCTTTTTAACAATGTTCTTCAAATTCCCTTGTAGAAATTTTCACTTTCAATCTTGGTCAAGATTGAATGTTGCTGGTCAAGATTAAGTGTTGATTGAATGTTACCAAATTTAAAATGTCTTTTTATCAGTATTCTACTTGCAATCTCAATTACAATCTAATTTTTTGAACTTTCAATTTTTCTTATAACTATCCAACTTCACCTATGGACAAAGAGTCAATGTTATCAACTTTCAAAATTTGATTTAGCAATGTTAAACTTGAAATATTGATCAAGATCAAATTATAACAACTTGAAGCAAGTTGACTTGCAAAAGAAATAAAATCTCACGATATCCAAACTGATCACCCAAAGACATCTGAAACTTGTTCTCTCTTTGTTGGTCTTTGGGTTAGTGTTCAACATGCATCTTCATCAGTGTGAATTTCTTTCACCTGTTTCCAATTTGAATCTTCACTAACATTAAATCTCTTTTAGCAATTTTCAACTTGATGATTAAGATCAAATTTTCACACTTGTTTGCCCTCTTCCTCATTCATTAATTTTAGAAGGGGGAAAACAATAAACCTCATTTTATTTAAAAACTCCTCTTGGAATTCAAATATAGCAAGACATTATTGTTTAAATTCAAATTCTCCTCTCAAATCAGCATGTTTCTGTCAGGAATCAGGATTCTTAACTTCTCAAAAATATATCAATGGCTGGGTGTGGACACCTTGGACTAGAGTAAATACCTTCTATGAGTTGTAGCCACTGGTCCATACCAGTAAACTTCCATTGAGCTGATTCTAGCTTCTGCAGAGTAGCCCACAGCTGAAATGAGTGGACCTCCACATCATCAACCTGAATCTCCTTCTGAATCTCATTCAATCATTGCTTTTACTTCCATCACAAAAAACAACCAGGCACTTCCAAGAGAAGAAGACATTAACTGTACAGTTCAGAGATACTTTTGAGTTTTGACATGAGTCTCTTGAAGCCACTGATCAACTCACCTTCATCAATTTGATTTGTCAGCCCAGTAATTCCATCAGGTATCAACACCAGGAAGAGAATCACGTCTCAGGAGGGGCCTCAGCGATGCCATTCAGAACAGCCGTTGAGGAGCGTAGCCTCGGCCTCACTGATGTTGTTCAGAGCAGTTGTTGAGGAGTGCCCCCTCGGCCTCAGCGATGCCGATCTGAACGGTCATCGAGGAGACTGCACTCTCAACGATGGCCGTTCAGAACGGCCATCAAGCACAAGAGGGCTTGGGGCAGGTACCCTGTATGCCGGAGCAGTACCCGGTTACAGGCGAATCTCTGCCCACAAGCCACCGGTGTCACAAGCAGCACCGGGCATCTGGGATTCTGGTGTGATGACAGCAGCTGTGCAATGCTGCAATCCCCAGCGGTTGCGCAGCTATTGAAGCCAATGGACCTTTGCTTGCGAGTTCGGACGAGCTGATTATGTAATCCTCAGCCAGCGGGGCGAGGGATGGCGAGGGTCATCTCAGATGACCTTTTATAGCCTTTGTACTTGGTGTACGAGGGCTATTGAATAGCCAGTTGGCAGTCGACAGGGGTGGATATTTTGGGGGTTTTGGGGGAAGCATGGGCTTTGAAATGGCCTATGTCAGTATGATTCTTTCTGACAAATTGCACAGTGAGGGTTACGGAATTTGTTGTTTCAGTGGCATTAAAAAGGTTGAAAGACTGGTGAAGATGTTCAAGTAAGTTTCAAAGGGTATAAAAGTAATTTTCAATTTTCTCAAACTTGTTCAAGTCTTTAAACTATAAAAAAAGTTACCAAACCTCTGGGAGTTTGAATGATATTTCATGTTGACTGCCAGAAGATTGATTTTTTTTTCCAGTGGTGCATACATATTTGAAACAACAAAACTCCAAAGAAAAAAACAAAATTGAAACAGGTCACATCATTATGTTACATAAAAAAACACAAATATGGTGTGTTGTGAAACCAATTTCACAGGCTTTGGTGTGTGATTTTTGAAGTTAAAACAACTTTTGTCACTTCAAGGCTTTCCAGCAAGGGGTTACCAGGATCCTTGTGTGAAACACTTTCAATGTCAGGGGAACTAGTTTCAAGCAGAATCCATGTGTTGGACCAGGCACTACTTTGTTGTATCCTCTGTTCAGAACAATGCAGCACTGTCATTTTGTGTGCATTTCCAATACACACTGCCCGCCTAATTGGCTAGTTTGAGGGTATCCCAGTTAAGCTGGGATGTACTCAACCAATTTGAAATGGGTTGATATTAACCAATGAAATATAAATCCAAGGATCCTTGGTTAATATTAGCAGGGTTTATGATTGCCATGTGTCTGCAAGCCTATCATCTCAAAACTGCAGCAGCCATATGACCTGCTGGAAAGCTTAAAAAGGCATGACTCCAAGCAAATCTGATATCTAAGCTGAGGCAAACAAGAATTCCTTTTGAGAAAAATGAGCATCCAAAAGCTCAATCATTAACCCCACTATTGGCTTGGTTGACATCAAACTAATTTTAATTAGTTGAGTGCATCCCAGTTTAACTGGGATACATACCATCATGCTCTCAAACTAGCCACTTCTGCTTCCAGTGACTGTACTATTACAATACATATGAAGTGGTTGATAACAAGTTGTATTCTATTACTTACATAAACTGTTGATAAATAAAACATTATCTAAGATGGCCGAATGTTTCAAAGCCTGATTACACAGGTTGTAACATCCAACTAAATTTTATTCCATAGTAGTGGAGATGTGCCTTAGGTGCAGAGTTTGTGGAAACCTTTTGAGCCCTAACCATGTATATTTTGCAAGAGCTCATTCAATTTTGATGAGCTTCCCTTGTCACTTCTTTTGCATGCAACACACCAAAGAACACTTCTGATCCAATCAATTCTTATTCAATCTCCATTGCAATAACCAAAAGATCTCATCATATGGGTGTTCTGTTGCAGATGATTTGCAGTTTGTGGACCCACTGTGCAATCAGTCCAGTTGTCGAAGGGATGCATACCACCAACCCAGTAAAATCAATACCCAACATTGTGAATGTTGAATTTCCTTCTGGAACAGCAGCAAATACACCTCAAGAGATCTGGCCGTTGTCGAATGTTCCAGGAGAAATGTTGGATCCCCAATTGCAAACGACCAGGCGCACTTCAAACATCGATACAATCGCAGCTGTTGACCAAAACCATGAGCAACTCTTCAATCAGGTATCATTCATCGCTGATGAGCTCCTTAGATCCCCTGTCCGTGATGAGGGACCAGAGCAAGACATCCGAATATCAGAAAGATCTTTGGGTGAATTTCGTTTGGAAAGTTCCACAAGGCCGGCGAAACGCTTGAAACCAGGTCGTGATCCTCAACACTGCGCTTCTACAGGACCAGCTGTGAGAGCAATGTATGATGGCTTTGCGGAGTGCCTAAATGAACCAGGTAAAATCCAATATCGAGTGGGGCCGGGGCAAGCCAGGTCGGGCTTCCTCGGCAACGTCCCAGTTCCTCGTAGGGGTAGTCAAGCTCTGCAACAATCAACCCCGGAAAATCAAAGTTCCAAGTCGATCGTAGAGGTTCGCGCTCAAGAGGGGATGCAAGGGAACCCCTCAAATGATCACCGACCCCCTGACTCCTCCCCATTGGAGAGCCAGAATCCAGTTGAAATTTTGAAAGAAAGTCATTTCAAGAAGAGACCCATTCCTCTATTTTCATTTCCGACCCTCGAGTCTTGTTCAAGCAAGCAGGCCCTCAGCCACCCCTCTAACGATTTCAAGCAGTTGCCTCCAACAATTCAACCCAATCCTACGGCTGTGGGGCATCCAAGTCTATTGGCATTTGGCTACTATTCTCATCAAGCGTTGGCGTGGTTCCCAGGCCAAGTGAGTCAGATAGCCTCACTTGGAGCACACGCACTCGCATATCAGCTTCTTCAACATATTGCCGATCTTGATACCAAAGCAAAGCTTCAAAAAATGCACGAATCAAATGGTATATTGATTCCATTCATCTATAATCTAATTCTCAAAGAATTGTCGAATACGCACTGGGTCAGAATAAAAGAGGTTTGGGGATATCTCTGGCAACATTGGTCTCAATTGAAGAATGTAGATTCAGATGAAGAGGTCCTCAGGACGTTTGTTTGGTTCTCAGATTACATTTCCGAAACCACTTGCCCAAAGATGTATTTGCATGACTTGAATCGAAAACAGAGAAAAAAGACTCTTTCCCACCACAATCTTCCGGCTGCAATGATCAAGCACCTCTCTGTTGGGAAACTAACCAATTACTACATGGGAGTCCATCGTGTGACCACTGCATGTGAAGAGGTAGTCAAGACTTTTTTGAATGAAATCCAAAGCCTTCGGTTCAAAAATCTCAAGCCTATTACTATGAGGGAACTCCACAGTTACATTTTGCAAATATTGGGGAATATTAGTAATAAAATAAATTTTGCATGCCCAAGTGAAATTATAGATCAGGAAAAAATGTTACAGGTTGAAGGAGTGGCAGAAAAATATTGTGTATTAATTCAAAATTTTATTTTCATGAATCAACAGAAGAAAATAGGATCTGAATTGGAAAAGTTACTTCCTCAACAAATACATGACCTTCTTGTGGATAACATCTTAAGAAAAACTTCTCTAGCCTCTTTTGATAGCTATTCCCACAAAAACATCAATGAAATCCAATTTCCAGATGAGATCATACACAAAATTGCCAAAAACATTTTTGAGAATCAAGGCATATGTTCTCAAGAATTTATATTTCTACCAGGCAAAATAAAACAGGCTTTCTTTGAATATGGCTTGTACTATTAATCAATATTTTTGTCAGGCAAAGTCCAGGAAATTCATATTTCTTCCAAGCAAGATTTGCTAATGATATTCACATTCTGGAGTGATTCCCTCAATTTTTTTATTAGAAATCTTCTGGAACACTGTTATCATGATTTTCAAACAATTCAATAAAAGAGTTATTTTCAAGAAAAGTATCTGTCAAATTTAAATCCATACAAATAGTATTAGTGATTTTCCAGAAGGATTAGGTGGATTGAATTGAATCGCATGACTCCAACAAGGGTATAAAATAACAAGAATTGTTTCCAGTTGGTGTACTGAGGAAAATGGAAGTGGTAATACAATGCAGAATCAATTCTTTTCATGCCATATACGCAGGCTTTCCAATTCAACTCCAACAAAATTAATAATCCCCAGAACAATCAAAGAGGGTACAAAATATGCACCTTCTTAGCCAAACAAAAAACCAATATTTTTAGTTTGTTGCTAAGACTTCAGCCTAGGGTACATGCTTATTACTGGAATGAAGAGTTTTCTCCCCTGGCTCTATTCAGTGAATAGTAGATAAAAAAAACTGGTTTCTACAGTGATAAGGATGTTGTTGAATTTTTCTCAATTCTGTCTCTCTCAACTCTGCCCTTCATCCCTTTCTAGTCATCAAAAGTCAGACCAGTCTATATTTCTCAAGTAGCTTGTTTTTGGTTGTTTTTAAGCCCCTTCTGAGTCAAATTTGAAACTTAAGCAGTCAGCTATTCTTAACCACTCATGTCTCTGTGATAAATTCTTCTCTTTCCTGATTTTTTGATTGATATATTCAAAATTGATCACTTAGAATCAATGACTCTAACCGTTTGTGAATTATGACATGCTTTCTTTTGATTAACTCATCCGGCTTTTCTGAAAGAGACTGAGAAGCCTTGACCAGTTAGTTTCTTCCAAAAAATCATGTTTGTTTCTCTCAGTTTTTATTCAATATGTATTTTTTGCTATTCATTTATCTTAACCACTTTTTCACCGCTTGTTTTTAGTCTATTTAAAACATGACTAGATGCTAGTGAATAAAAAACATTGGTTCTCACCTTCTTCTTCTGTGAACCCTTCCCAAAATAAGATCCTCTTCTTTTTTTGCCCTTAATCTCTTATGCGCTTGAGCTCAAAAATTCAACAGATGTGACACAGATGAGTGATTTTGAGTTTGTGTTATAGAAGAATATGGATTATATGGGTTTCTGCCAAGGTGAGAAGATTTTAAGAGGTATGAGAGTGGGAAGAATCTAATGAAGGTGACAAAAATTCAATTACCATGATCTGGTGCGTTGAGAAAGTCTCAGAAAGAAATCCAAGATTAAGAGGGGATATGAAATCCATGATGTTGAGATGAATGTTGCAGCAGCATGTGTCATATTAAATTTGAATGTGGCAATCAAGAGCTTAAAGCTCAAGTTTTTCACAGACAAGGATTCAAAAGGAGTGAAATTTTTGATTTGATTGGCTATGTTTAAAGTTGGAGATCCATCTGGGACAGACAGGGAACTTCTCTAGAATGAAGGCGTAGGTAAATTTGATGGAGTGTGAGGGAGGCATAAAGAAATGAAAGATGAGATGATGGAACAACCTGAAATACAAGGGTGATATTGATGAATGGCAAATATTGAAGCCAGAGTAGATTCACATTGGATTTTTCTTCAAATGCCCTGGATCATATTGACTCCACTATGTACATGGGGCTAACACTGGGGAACCCTCAATTTCCAGTCTCTCTAGCCTAGGTGAAAATGTCAGGATCAAAGCCAAGAATTATGGGTCAGACTTCCAAGAACCAAGGTGAGAGAAAACAAAGGCCAGTGATGATGGATGAATGCAGATGCAAAAAAAAAGAAAATTGGTCACTATCTTTCAAATATATGCCAATGATAGACTAGTATAAGGCCATCAGATACATTTTTAGTCTTCATGAAACAGATACAATTTGTAGTTACAATTAGAAAAGATGATCAAGATGAGTTATTAATGAGATAAAAAGAATGTGAAAAATGAACTAGCTTATCAAAGCTTCTTGAATGGGTGTCCTGTGGGAGGCTCTCTGTAGGAGAACCTCACACATATCAAGTCCCATCAATGGCAGGAGCAGGACAGATATCCAGGCCTCTTTAAAGCCTAAAATTCATCAATTCCACTTTGATAGAAATTTTGGGAGCACACAACAATAATCTGAACACTAGAAACAACACTGGGAAGTTACATATCAGTTACTTTTTTTTGGATTTTTAACTTGGTAAACCTTTTAAATGTGAAGCCAATAATTTTTTTTTGTCTGGTAGATATGAACAAACAGGCTTTCTTCTTACATATTTCAAAAGAATTCTGGCAATAATTCTTCTACTTTGACCATGATTATTTAAACAAGACAAAAAAAAGTGATCCAAGCCACCAGTTATCTCCAACTAAATTTGGCCATGCTATCCAGGAATAAACAAATTAGAGTGGATAAAAATTGTTATTTCTTTGACCCATCTCAAGGCCTAATCCCATTTTGATTTATTTAGCTCATAGATTAAATTATTGGGTGCCTAGACTCAAGCTAAAAATAGAAGCAGTGAGATGACTGAAAAAGTAACTTCCCAGTGTTGCTAGAAAGGCTTCCTTTGTGCTTCCTCTAGTTGTGCACATTCTGAGATATTCAGTTTCCTGATCAATAAAGCCACAAAATCTACTGCCCAAGCCTCCACAAAAATTGAAGGACAAATCTCAAGTCAGTGCTGTATCTGGCTGGTTTGAATGGGGTAAAAACTGTCTGATTTTTGGCTCTTTCACTTGTAGTTAAGAACTGTTTTCTGTGGCGCATAGATTAATGGGATCTGTGTGCAAGCCTTTTTCCTTGTAGATATGTATACAACAGATCCAGTTCTGATTTCTTGGAAATAAACAACCAATTTGACATGAGGAGATAATGAGACTTGTGAGTCAAACATAATCAAAGAGGCAAAGAGATCCATCTTTGTATCACCCAGATGTGATTCAGACATGTGGGCAAAAAAGCAGGCTGGACTATTTAAGAAAAAGAATGAAGTGGACTTGCTGCTGGATCCAAAAAACAGCCCTAATTATGTCCCCTGCAAGTTTCTCCCAAGGAACTTGCAACAAGTGAGCATATTTCTACAGTAAGAAAATAATTCTAGAGTCAACTGGACCAGAAACAAGTCCAAGTATGGCACCATTAAACTGGCTGAGGAAGGAAGGAAGCTTTCCAACCTCCAACACACATTTCAGACTAGTTTAATGGCTGTATTGTGTTTTACAGAATTAACTATACTTAATAAGATTGGATCATTTCCAACACAAAGAAAGCATACAGAATAATTAGAATCCCTGAGATTTGTGTTCTGTGGTGAAAGGACACAAAGGAAAAGAATGAGAAAGCTCTTGGCCCTTGAGGTATTGATGAGGATCCATCAAAATGGGTTGATTATAATGGTGATGGGAAGCTCTGGGATCCAGGACACTGCCTATAACATTATATGTAACATCTCAGCTTTTGCATAAATCCAAACATTTGGGGCCACAGGGGAATATGATTTTTCTGGGACCAGTGCTTCCTTTGTTTTTATTTGTGTATATAGTGGCCTGGAAGGAGCTCAAAAATCCTTGGAAATCTGCCCCAACCATTACAGGATGGTCTGTCTTGGGCAGAGATTTGCACCTGAAATTTGGAAGCTCAATGGCAGACACTGAGACACTAGTCTGTGTGTCTACATGAGATTGTAACCCCTCCAGGTTACATAATAATAAATATTATTATATGTATTCTTTAAATTAATAAGGATTTATTTAATTTTATTCTTTAAATTAATAATGATTCACCTCTGTACATAATTATCTCTCTCTCTGGATAATTAATGTACCTCTCTCATGAAAATAATAATAAAATTGAAAAGGATAATTATCTCTTGTGTTTATCCAAGTGATTATCATCCTGTGTATCTCTCTTGTGTGATAGTCAACACATTTAGATTTGCATGTTTGAATATCTTGACACTTTCCCCCAAAGGAATAGTGTAACAATAGGGGGAATTCACCGGTCCAACAGGCAGCCTGAACCCTTCCTTGCAATACTTAAGGGGAAGGCTTTCCCTCTAGGATTCCTTCCCCCAGAGATTATTGCCATACGAGCCCGCGTGTGTTACTTAATACTAGTGAGTGGGGTTTTAGCAGTAAACTCTCCCTTTTCTCTTTACCTTCCAACTTTATGATTGTTCTACTATCCTAGACTACAGTTAAGTCACTACTGTAGTCTAGGAGAGAGCCTCTTTTGATCTGCTCTAAGCTCGGCGTGGTGATGCTCATTCCACTGTTGTCCCCTCTAACCCAGGGAGCTAACCCCTCCACCCTCTGGTGTTGAGGTGAGGTTTATTTCCACTGGCCACCTCTGTGGCTATAGTGTGACCCAATACCCTACCTATCAACTCCTGCTCACATAAGAGACTGGAGCTTACACTCAAGAAACCTTGATTTGTGTGTCTGATTCATTCAGACACCAAAAAGGGACTCATGCAAATATTGTGCAAGGTAAGTTTTTTTTTTTTCTCTCTCTCTGCCCCCCCCCCCCCCCCAAGAAAAAAAAATGCAAACGTTGAATGAGGTTAATGGCCTACAAGTAGTCTGGGGGATTTTGAGGGTTCTGAATTGAGTTCAAAGAAAGGTCCACAGAAAGGAAGACTGCAGGCTGATCAAAGGCGAGTAAATGCAAGTGATTTGAGCACCATCCAAGCAAGTGTTGTTGATTGCAGGACGAGTTTCCAGACCGCCCCAGCCGGAAGGCCGCCCAAATCTCCAACCTGACTGCTGGTGTAGGTGATCAGAAGAGCTGAGGGACAATGCACATACATCTGCTCTGGGCTTGAGAAGCCTATGCATACAGTGATCCACAGCATCTTACTGTTCACAGCCACCTGCAAAAGTTGATCAGGTCCCATGTGGGCTCAAACCTCACCCCCAACAGGGCTCTGGCACTGGTAAAGAATACACTTTTGGAGTCTGCACAGTGCGTAGATTCCAAATCTAAAATGCCAACTAATTTGGTCCAGCCAAAAAAAATAAAAAACTTTTTTTTTTCACTGGACTGTTTGGTCACAGGATGTCAGCTTGCTACTATGGCAGAGACAACCTGTCATAGCAAAATGAAAATAATAAAAATACATAAAAAATCTAAGAATAAAGTAAAAATATTACATAAGTAAAAGAAACTACTTTACTTATGTAAATAATACAAAAAACACTTAAAATATACAAATAACTTATAAAGTATAAAGAAAACTTTAATTATTATTACAGATTCTGAATCTACGTACAATTTAACCTAGGGTACCTCAGCCAAAGGTACCCCTAATTGTAACTCCTTCATCCTGCAATACCCACTTAAAGAATTAACAGGTACCCATAGATCACAGGCACCTGAATAATTATGCATTATACATAACAAGATGCATATACTCCAAATCTTGTCTCAGATTTGGAGTGTTGTGTATAGTTTGGAAGATAGAGCTGCGTGGCGTGTACTGTCTCCAAGCCCGCGCGCCGCGTAGTCATGCTGCGCACGGTTGACAGGCGCGCCTGACTACAATTGAGCCCATGGCTCAAGCCCCCGCGCGTGCTAGGTAAGCCCACCCGCCTTGGATACACGCATAACCCCCTCTGGGTTACCAGTATCCAAGGAATGGGCCACAAGCGCCCCAGAATCCTCACTACACGTGACAACAAAGCCCCCACACGTGTAATAAAAATATAAACAAACTAGAATATGCATGAAAATACTACAGTAACCTAGAACATTCTATATTCCAAGTGGTAACACGTGTAGCAAGCCCCAGAAACCACCTCTTGGATATTCTGTGGCCCATTTCCAAGGAAATAACTCCACGTAACAGACTAGCAAGTATCCACAGGTTCCTGAGAGATATTCTTGGTTCAAATAAATTCGTGCATGACCCCTGGGAACTTCTAGAATATTATCCCCAAGGTTTCAGCCCTTGTTGCGTCACCATGTGGGCTAAAATGGGCCACAAAGCGCTCCCAAGTCCTACTAAGCTCCCCTGAGCAACCCCTGAGGTCTTCCACAGGTATTTAAAGGGCCTTCTGACCGCTCAAATAATGATCCCCCAGCTTTACAATACCTTATAGAAATTTACTTACCATTTACAAGTCCCCTACACTTGTAACTAGCCTAGTTATTACTATTTTTGCTGTTATTAAAGCCTCAAGATTCCTCAAAAAACTCCCCAGTTAACATCCAGCACCCAAAATCAACAATTCTGAGCGCTCCCAACTGTCCAGTTTCTGCCCTGAAGATCCTCAAGATCCCTTAGGATTATTACTAGTAAGTAATAACCCTTTCTTGAAGATTTTCCCCTTAAAATTATCTCCTGGGATTTAAACCACACCTGCTACAGGCCCCAGTGTATCAGGTACCTAAATCCTCTGCTTTTTGCACGATACCTTAGAGGGATTAAACCACCCCTGATTTATCAGGCCCCTCTGGTTTTATTTATATTAATTTTATTAATATAAATTGGCCACATTTTTGATTTAATCCATAAAATCCACGTAATTCTTTTGAATTACTTGTTCCATCCTTTATCCCAGAGTTTTTACCATAAAAACTCTTAGTTTTGCACCTTGTGTAGCTAGAAGACTTGTGTCTTGGCATCACATAGGCTGACACAGGAGGTTACAGGCCAAGTATGGGAGCCTAAGTACATTCATATGGGATAGGCTGAGGTGATGAACCAATACTTATATGGCTATATATCAGCCTGAGCCAATACCCATAAGTTTAAAGCTTCAAAGTGGATTGGGTTGCTTGATTACAGCAGTGTAGACATCAGATCGGATGAGCTCCTGTCATGATCCACGAGCCTCCCAGAAGTCAATTGACACCCCTTAGATCTATATATATTTTTTTTCTGATGCCTTCCAGCAATAGCTCTTGTGTTCACTGGTTGGAATTGTAATAGTGTTGTTGATTGAGGACAAAGAGATTGGTCTAAGAAGCAATCCTAAATTGCCGCATCCAGGGACGTCCTCCATCGAGCCCTCAACCCCGCAGAAACTGAAGCCAATCAAACCCGCCCAGCCGATCTGTTGATTATGTAGATCCCACAACTGGCCTACATACAGCCATCTCCCCCATACGGCTGTGTATGATGATGGAAGCACTCAGAATTTGTGCTCACACAAGTTCCCTGCAGCAAAGTGAAAAAAAGCACTGAGACACTGTCAGACGGGGTGATGCCAAAGCCGACAGCTTTCTAGCTACACCCGTTGATGGGGAGGGTTTGGTGTGGTTTGGATAGAAGGGAGAGGGGCCCAGATCGATGGGTGTTTTTATGATGCCCTCAGTAGTAAAGCTAGAGTTCGCTGCTGATATGTAGCAGAACGTCAGGTAGCTTGACGGCAGGTCCTAGCGAGGTCTAGGGGTGGTAGTCTGCGAAGTGGGAGACGGAGGAGGAAGACTTGGAAGAGGGGACTTACTGAGTGTTGGGTAGTCCTTCCTCGGTATAGGTTATCGGTCTATATTCCTCGGTGCTCGGATGGTATTCTAGACGATATCCTAGGCCAGTTTCACGGTACGGCGGCGACGGCGGAAAGTTGTAGGCTTGGGAAATCTGTTTGGGAGTGTGAGCCGGGTGGGTGTTGGTTTTAAGGATGAAAAGGAAGTTCTCGGATGAAAATAATAAGACGGCTGAAATTCTCGATGCCCCTTCATTCAGCTTGGACCTGGCCTGGTTTTTATGTCCCTCGGGTCCGTCTTCGATGGCCTATGGGAGCCGAGTTCCTATTCCTAGGCTTGAGGTGATTGTGTCGGTTCAGTCATGAGGTCATGACTGACAATGACAATCCTAGGTATTTCTTTGAAGTGTGACATCCTGTGAAACTGGATGTCACACTTCGAGGACGCGCGCTGGAGATGACGCTTACGGTATAGCACAGTACTGTGACTGCTGCGGAGTCTCCTGCGCGTGCTCCTGAGGTCATTTTTAACGGTTAATTCTAGTTATTACTTTATTTCATTATAACTTTTTAAATGCAATTAATATTTATTTATATATATATATATAAAGGGCCTTAATAAAAAAACGCGGTTTTTCCGCGTTTTGACGCGGTTTCTGCTGCGCGCAGCACACGCGGTTTCCGCGTTTAGACGCGGTTTTTTAATTAATTTTTTTTTGCCATTAATTTTAAGTTTTTTTGATTTTTTTAAATTGTTTCCTAGGTTTCCAAGCGTGTAGAATTTAATGGTCAAGTCCAATTTCCATAAAAATGAGTTTTAATTATTAATTTTTTTTTTCCACTCATTTTTTCTACTAATTGTGTTCTTACATGTTTGTACCTTATTTTTTATGTTTTTTTGAAATTTTAAAGTTGTTTCCTAGGTTTCAATACGTGTAGAATTTAATGGTAACATCCAATTTTCTCAAAACTCAACGGTTCATTTTTAATACTGAAATTTGACATTTTTTTCACTTAAATTTCTACAGGTTAATTTTCATTATTTTTTGACAATTTAAAATTTTTTCCTACACTTTGAGACATGTAAAGAATTATGGTAACAACTATTTTTTCCCAAAATGAAAACTATACCTTGAATGCTGCATTTGACACCGTTTTTTTTATTTAATTCTTTAATTTTTCACTCAATTGTTTGCATTAATTTCTTTACCTTATTTTTAATGATTTTTTGAAATTTTAAAGCTTTTTCCTACATTTAAAAGTGTTTAGAATTTAATGGTAACATTCAATTTCCATAAACCTCAGCGGTTCATTCTGAATACTGTAATTAGTCATATTTTTCAATTGATTTTTAAGAGCTTAATTTTCATTATTTTTTGACATTTTAAATTTGTTTCCTACACTTTCAGACAATCTTAAAATGATGGTAAAAATCAATTTGCATCAAAATAAAAACTCTATCTTGAATAATGCCTTTGACGTGTTTCCTTAATTAATTCTTACACATTAATTATCCTTATTTTTTTGGAATTTGGAATTCATTTCCTACACTTTGAATGGTTTCCAAATTGATGGTAGTATCCATTTCTCATCAAAATACAATTTGTATACGGTACAAATTATGCAAGAAACAGTGCACACTCTCGTATTATAACTGAAGCTTTGAGTTTGAGGGAAATTGGACTTCACCATTAACTTCTACACATTAATAAATGTAGGAAATAAATTTAAAATTCCAAAAAATGATCAAAATTAAGCCGGTAAAAATCAATCAAAAAAGCATTAAAAAAACATGTCCAACGCAGTATTCAGTAACAAGGGCTGATTTTTATGTAAAATGGTTGTTACCATCATTTTAATCATGTCTTAAAGTGTGGGAAATAAATTTAAAATGTCAAAAAATAATGAAAATTAAGCTGTAAAAAATTAAGTGAAAAAAATGTCAAATTTCAGTATTAAAAATGAACCGTTGAGTTTTGAGAAAATTGGATGTTACCATTAAATTCTACACGTATTGAAACCTAGGAAATAACTTTAAAATTTCAAAAAAAACATAAAAAATAAGGTACAAACATGTAAGAACACAATTAGTAGAAAAAATGAGTGGAAAAAAAAATAATAATTAAAACTCATTTTTATGGAAATTGGACTTGACCATTAAATTCTACACGCTTGGAAACCTAGGAAACAATTTTAAAAAATCAAAAAAACTTAAAATTAATGGCAAAAAAAAATTAATTAAAAAACCGCGTCTAAACGCGGAAACCGCGTGTGCTGCGCGCAGCAGAAACCGCGTCAAAACGCGGAAAAACCGCGTTTTTTTATTAAGGCCCTATATAAAACAAGGCTAATAGAGTCATTAAAACAGGTCAGATTGTCCTGCTTTATTAGTGACAAGCTGACAGACGCTTGCTTTGTCTACCTGCCCTCACCAGGAGGACCCGATCCACCCACCTCCATTTACATTTCTGGAACCGCTTCATCCACCAGTTGAGTCTGTCCTCCTGCTACTCAAAGAGAGGGGGGGGGGGCATCCTTTTGCCCTTCCAGCCCCTCTACCCCACAACCATTTCATATACCCTTCTGAAAAGCATGACACTTTCAGCTTGGAATAAGCCAACTGCAAGCAGCTGTCTAATATCCTCATACAATGTAACTCTTACAGAAATCAGAAACCCTCAAAAAAAAAAAGCATAGAAACCAAAAAATGGGGTGGAAAAAGCTTGAATGGTTGGAGAAGCCCATTTGTGTTTGTGTGTGTGTGGGTTTTTTTTTTTTTTTTTTTTGGGGGGGGGGGGGGACATGAGTCCCTTGGTTCTCCAAACCAACCCAACCCAGCCCATACAACTGCTTCACTCTATCTGTTGATCTAATACTCTACCCTCTCTCTCTCTGTGTGTGTGTGTTTGTTTGTTTCTTACCCAACCAACCAAAAAAGAATGTTGTTGATGATGATGATCATGCCAGAATTCACACACACAAAGACACACACAAAGATACACAAAGATACACAAAGACACACACAAAGACACCAAAAAAGTAAAAAAGAAAGTAGAAAAAAAAAAAAAAAAAAAAGTCAAAAAAAAGTCAAAAAAAAAAAGTACTTTTTTTTAAAAAAAAAAAAACGACCATGAAGCCCAAGAAAAAGAAAAACAAAAAACAAATTAATTAAAAAGAAGAAGAAGAAGACAAGAGAGAGTGAGAGAGAGAGAGAGAGTACGACATGATTAGATGAGAGATAATGAACCAAGCCAGCCAGTCGACCAGAAGAAGCACCGCAGAAGCTCAGAAGAAGCACAGCAGAAGCTCAGAAGAAGCACCTCAAGAAGCAGCTCAAGAAGCTGAGAAGAAGCGAAGCCCGAAAAAAAGAGCCCAGCCAGCCAACCAAGGCCACGCCATGCCACGCAAGGTAAAAAAAAAAACAAAGCAAGGAACGATCGGAGGACGAATGCTTCAGAAGAAGAAGAAGAAGTCAACCAAGACGACGGTGTCCCCAAAAAAACCGGGGTCCATGTGCGCCGCAAACAGAGGACCTGGACGAGAGGACCCGGACGAGAGGACCTGGACGAGAGGACCTGGACGAGAGGACCTGGACGAGAGGAGCCGGACGAGAGGAGCCGGACGAGAGGAAGCCCCGATGGAAGCCCATCCAAGAAAAAAAAACGAGCCCGAGCGACGAAAAGAGGAGAGCGGCTCAATGGTTGGAGAACTTGAAGTAGCGCAGCGTCAGCCACGCGCCGACGACTCCAAACGAGACGAGACCACAGACGATGGCGATGAACCAGGCGTATCCTTCGGTGATGTCTTGCCCCGGCACATGCACCTATTTCTCCCTTCCCCATCATCATCAACAATAACAACAAGAAAGAAGAGAGGAGAAGGGAAGGGAAGGACTGACGTTCATGCCCCATAACCCGGTGACTAAGTTCATCGGAACTAGAATCGATCCCAGTGCGGTCAACTTACTCAACACGTCGTTGATCTGGTTGTTCGCGTCTACACATGACCAAAGAGGAACCCATCAATTCCGGGGGTTCTGTTTTGATCAGGAAGGATGGAAAAGAAGAAGGAAGGAAGGAGGATGAGTACCGGTCATCTCGATCGAGATTTGGGCGAGATAGTTGGAGTGAGAGCGGGACAGAATCTTCTCATAATGATTCAAACTATATAACCCCACCGAGAAAAACA